AATAATAATAATAATAATAATAATAATAATAATAATAATAATAATAATAATAATAATAATAATAATAATAATAATAATAATAATAATAGGAGGAGGAAGAGGAGGAGGAAAGAAGTGGACTGATTGAATGATTCAAGTAATACATAAAAAAGATACATCCGTGGATCATTCATATACATATATCCAACAAATCGTTTTTTTATCTATCTGTAGGAAAACAAATTTGGAAACTATTATGCTATGAGTACAAGGATACACAGTATTATGAATATATACAACTTCAGCAGAAAAAAAAGGATTTTTGTGTGATTTTATTCAGCAAAACAGTTTTTAATATCACTTTGTAGTTCAGTTTAACTTTCAATATATCTGTTTTACAAAAGCATATATTGCATTTTAGGGCAATAAAGTACACAGTGTGAGTTCATTAAATCTGCTTTTATTATCTCCACATAAAGGTTTATGATGGATAGTAGAAACTCCCTCTTGGCAATGCATTTTTGTTTTAAGATATAAACAGATTTTCATCATAAATTTATGAAGTTAAATATTCTTCAGTCAAACTAGCAAAATGCTTCTTTTCTGGAGCAAGTACTTCTAGCAGTTTATCAGCTTAAAGCTTCAAGAATCACTTGATCACTAAATCTGTATTTGTTTAAACTAGTTCTGTAAATTACAATTGTATTTACCTGTTCAAGAAATACAGAAGTAGTGTACTACCCTGAGCAAAGAAAAACTTAACATGAAATAAACAGTTTTTATAAAAAAAAATCTATCGATTGACACCATGCCAATAGTTATTACATTAAATAATTCAGCATAATAATGACAGTTTCGACCTCCAAAATAATTTAGTGCCTTGAGCTGAGATTAAACGCAGAACATTATTTTTTCTCTCTGNTCTCTGGTTGTCAGGCCAACCAAAATGCCTGTCAAATCCACTTAGACAAAGCCTGCATCATATAATAATATTAAAGATGATAAAATATTAATATAGGCTTACAATGGAACAGTAGCCAAATAAGCTATAATAAGGCATCTTTAAATTATTAAACTGACAATCTATTCATCTGCTGAAAATGGAATTTAAAGGTCCATCTAAAAAATGATGCTGAAAAATGAAAAACCAACCACATTAATGAAAGTTTACAAGATTATTAACTGATACACATGCTATGAGTAAATATGCTAATATTACTGATTTACAAACAAACCAAGAGATGCAAAATTTTGGCAAATTCCTCATAAATATACAGTGAAGTTCTATTGTTGAATCCAAATATAATTTGAGCATCAGCATTAAAAGAGCACTTAATTGTATCACTATTGCATAAGATTCACTATTACACATAAAATATGCTACCATATTAAAAGAAATGTACCATACTAAAGTCCCAAACGTTCTTTTCCAAGAGGCAATTGGACTTTCTTGTTTTTCTTTGAAGACATTTTGCTTATCATCTAAGAAGCTTCTTCAGCTCTGACTGGATAGTGGGGAATGGAAGGATTTATATTCCTTGCAGCCTGCTGGTCATTTGCATTTTTAGAGAGTCATTGGGGCCACTTGGAAGTTAATCTGTGTCCTCAAGGTCTCCTGAGTGGTGCAAATGGGGGTGGAGCCTTCTTGTAAATGCTGAAAGGACTGTGTTGTAGACTGGAGATAGATGTTGTGTTCGTCCCCCTCTATTGATAGAGGGCCATTCAATTTTGACATAGATGGCCTCTTTGACCTTTTTTTCAAACCAGCTGTCCTCTCTCTCCAAAATGTGGACTTTGCTATCTTCAAAAGAGTGTCCTTTGTCTTTTAAATGCAGATGAACAGCTCAATCTTGTCCTGATGGGTTTGTTCTCCTATTTGTGCCATGTGTTTATAAAGTGGTTGTTTTATTTCCCCAATGTACAGATTTGCACATGTCTCACTGCATTGGACTGCATATACCACATTGCTTAGTTTGTGTCTTGGTGTTTTATTCTTGGGGTGGACAAGCTTCTGCCTTAGTGTATTCTTGGGTTTAAAGTGTGCTCTTCCTGAGCTTTTCAAATATTCCTGCAACGTATGGATAAACAAAGCAGTGTTGTTATTCCATACGTTGCAGGAATATCTGGAAAGCTCAGGAGGATCTTCAGCCAACACAACATACATGCACATTTTGATCTCCTATATTGTGCCAGGCATTTTTGAAGTGGTTGTTTTGTTTCCCCAATGTACAGATCTGCACATGTCTCACTGCATTGTACTGTATATACCACATTGTTTAGTTTGTATCTGGGTGTTTTATCCTTGGGGTGGACAAGCTTCTGCCTTAGTGTATTCTTGGGTTTAAAGCCAACAAGACAAGATTCAGCAATCCATCTGCATTTAAAAGACAAAGGCCACTCTTTTGAAGACAGCAAAGTCTATATTTTGGGTAGAGAGGACCATCGTTTGAAAGAGCAGTCAAAAAGGCCATCTATGTCAAAATTGAATGGCCCTCTCTCAATAGAGGGGAAGGAACATGACATCATTTATCTCCAGTCTACAAAACAGTCCTTTTAGCAATTCCAGAAGGCTCCACAGCCATTTGCACCATTCAGGTGACCTTGAGGACACAGATAAACTTTCAATTGGCCTCAATGACCCTCTAAAAGAATGCAAATGACCAGCTGGCTGCAAGGAATATAAATCCTTCCATTCCCCACCATCCAGTCAGAGCTGAAGAAGCTTCTTGAATGAGAAGCAAAACATCTTCAAAGAAAAACAAGAAAGTCCAGTTGCCTCTTGAAAAAGCACCTTTGGGACAACCATGAACTGGATGGTTGAGAATCTCCATAGACATATACTGTACTAAAAGAAAAAAAGTTATAGAAGATATAACTAAAGTAAAATATTATTATAGTTAGTCACACAATCAGCCAGATGTTTAGACTGGATTTGCCTTTTTTTACCTATTGTTTAATAATGTTAAATGTATCATTGCAGGATATAAGCTCTTCCAAGTAAAGCTTCCTTTTGCAATTGACTGTTGGTGATCTAGTTTAGAACAATGATTTTCAACCTTTTCGCAGATTGTACCACTTTTAGGATATGGCAATATTCAAGTACTCCCAGTCACCTAGCAAGGTGTCAAAAACTTGATGACAAAAAAAGGAAAAAAGTGATAAAGTACAGGTAGTCCTTGACTTACAACAGTTTGCTTAGTGACTGTTTGAAGTTATAATGACACTGACAAAAGTGACTTATGAACATTTTTCACACTTATGACCATTGCAGCATCCCCAGGATCACGTGATTTACCCAGTACTGGGTTTACCAGGCACCTAGTGCCGCCTGAGTCTAACAGTCTAACTCCTTAAGTTAGTTTTCAGTCCTGAATCTTGAAAGCTCAATTCTATGGGAATTGTAACTGATGTAATCAGGCCACTTACCAGGAGTCATCATTGGAATCTGTGTCAGTCAACCCCTGGCCATCGTCTGGTGGGATCAAAATTCCTTCCACCTGTTTTGGCGATGGGGTGAACTCAATGACCTCCACTCCTTTCACCTCAGTTTCCCTGGCCCATGGCAGTGCCTTGGTGCCTTCCCCACAGGGCTGGGGTTCGCTTTCTAAGTTGGCCGGTTGACTTTGAATTCCGCCACTCTGTGCCCTTCTTGGCTGCACTTAAAACATGCAGTCGAGCAAACCTGCCAAGCTGGTTGTTTGATCACTTCCATCTTCTCTGGGGGTGATTTCTTCCATGGCTGAGCTGCTGGGTACTTGTTGCATATTTGACCAATCTCCATTCCTCTGCTAGTATATAGCAGTCATGGAGGGGTCTAGCCCCCCCCCCTCGAGACACAGGCATTGTACAGGTCATTGTTCAATCCGTCTTTGAAGCAGCTGATTAGGATGTCTTCTGGCCAGTCATTGAGCCAACATGCCAGATCACCAAACTCCTTGGTGTACTCAGCCACAAAGTGGTGACCCTGCCTCAGTCTTGATGTGGTCTCTTGCTTTGTGGTTGACTAGGAGATCCTTGAACTGACGATGGAGTGCTGTCATTAACCAGTTGAAATTCCTCAGCTCAGGAGCATTGGTGTTGTGGAGGTCAACCATCCAGCTCCCTGCTAGAAAAACTGATGAGAACAAGGTGAAAGTCCACCCTACCTATGGAAGCTCAGTTGATACTTGACGAAGAGTTATCACTATTTTTCAAGCCCACATATTTCACAGCTTTCTTATTCTCAGAGGAAAAACAGAAACGGGAACACTTTTTTTGAGTTCCAGAAAGCAAAACAGAATAAGTAAATAAATTTGCTTTGACATTTCACTTCTAGCTCAGATGATTTACTCCTGCAAAGGAGCTTATCTTTCCATGTCTATATCCATGCTGATTTGAAGGGTGAAAGAAGGATGTGAAACAAATATCCAAATTATTGCTCCCTAAGGACAAATTCTTTAGACAAAATTGGCTGATCTATTAGCTGAATGCCATTATTAGGAAATAAAAGCTAGAAAGAGGTACCATTATTATAAAATTAATTACTTTGATTTTTAATGTTTTTTAAAGGGCATGCAGAGTTGTATGAAATACCTGCACAAATGTCATCAATGTCACTGTGGGAGATGAAAAGGTAAACAGTGAAGAAAGACAGGAGAAAGAAAATTTGCTCCAGGCTATTTTAAGATGAGATATGGTTCAGTGTGGATGTAAGGGAACACTCTGTACATGTTCAGTAATTCAGCTTTTAGAATTGGTTTTCATGTTCCAGAGCTGTGCTCTCCTTGTGATTTTAAAACTGTCCAGGGAAAGCTTACGTTAAACTAATTACCACATGCCTTGGACTGAAATCCAGCCACTAATATTACACTACTCTTGATGTTTGCTTTCTTTTAACTGTTGAATCCGTTTTGACCATTTTTTTTAGTGAAAAGTGATACAAACATATTCGAACTAAGGAAAACGATACGGAGGAATGGGCAACTGAGAGAGAGAGAGAGAGAGAGGGAGGGAGGTTTACAAACACCCGCGCACATGCCCAGAACAACCTAAGCACTTCAGCGAGAAAAGAAGGCCAGCTGTTCTGCAAGCCTAAAACGGATTCCCGAGTTCCGGTAGGCCTGAGGAGGTAGCGGAGTCATAAAAGTTGAGCAGAGAACCGTTTCTGCAGTCCCGAATCTGAGAATTGGCTCGCATCAGCGGTATTAGGGGAAGGTTCGGGTTGTTTCAGGGGCTCGTTCTGAGCAGCAGCAACAAAACCCAGGCCTCGCAGTCGCCGCGTTTCGTTAGAGCCCCCTTTCGCTGCTGGACGGCCATAACGCTTGAAAGCTGACGGCACCCTCGGTTCGTGTTCCCTTCCTACCTCTTTCTTGGGCCGGTCTTGTCCAGCCAAGTAGGGCGGTGTTTCACGGCGGCTTTTCCATTCGTTTACCTGGCTCTTTGGTTTTTGTGTTGTCTTCTTTGAGCGAAATGCGGTGGGTGGACTAGAGAGCGTGGCTTTGCTTAATTTTGTTCGCCCTACCTGTTCCTGTTTCCAGACCAGCAAGCAGCCTCACAAATTGCGGTTGGAACCGCAGATAGGGAAACCTCAAAGCTATACTTTCTGCCCACGAACGGTGCCCCAATAGTTTCTCTCGTTTTCTAGAATAAGCTTCCTATTCCTGGGTGGCTGGGGAGAGAATAAGAGCGCGCGAGGTAGAAAGTGATTGAAGAGAAACATTTAGCGCCTGTTCAAGAAAACAAGTATTTAGGTTACGCATAAGAAAGAATTCTTCCTCATTGATGCATGGGCTACTACTTTATACGGATTACTGTATTTAAAAAGCTAAACAACCGCTAGATGGCAGAATAGAGATACAGAAAATATTCTTTGTCTCTTTATTAGTGATCATCCGGAAGTTTCAGAGCAGATAGGCTAGATCAGGAGTAGACAACCTTGGCTCTTTTATGACTCTGGGAGTTGAAGTTCACGAGTCATAAAAGAGCCAAGGTTGCCTACCCCTGGGCTAGATGCAAATGCCTGGAATAAATAATCAAACAAAATTCACATAAGGTGTAATTGGCCGAATGTTTGCTTAATATCTCATATAAACCCAACCATTGTAATTTGTGGCTAGAGAGCCAGTTTGGTCTGGTGGCTAAGGCACCAATTTAGAAACCAGTTGATGTGAGTAGTCACCTGTGGCATAACAGCCTACTTCAGGCCAGACACACTTGCAACCTAAACAATAGGAAGAAGAAACCCTAACAATATGTGGTTAGTTTTGGTTGAAGTTATCTCTTATGAGTCATGCAGCTGAATTTTTCCAGAATAGTGGTGGTCTCAAACATATTTCTAGACAAATAGTAATAGGAACAAGAAAAAATAATTAAAATTCTGTTCCTCAGCATACATAATAGCTGGGAAGTGTGTAGTAAAAAATAGTCTATCAGTGGGCTTGCATGTCATTTATTGTAATTGTTAATATAAGAAAGGAGTTGTTGCTTATTGGAAAAATACATTACATATATAAAGATATATTTTAAGTACAATTCCATGTAAAACATTTTTTCAACTTGGAATCCTCCCAATATGTTAGACTACAACTCCTTTACTTACCAGGAAAGAAAAGGCAGCCTTATAATTCCAAGCTGAAAAGGACAGTAGCTAGCTAGTGCTTCTGTTCAAGTGTTCATAGTAAGAACAGAAACTGGAAAAGGTGAACACAGAGTCATATGTAAGTTACTTTTTATTTTCTGTCTGCCTACAATATTTTTAAGAAATCAGATGCATTTATTGTTTTAGCAGCTTTAGCAGAATCCCAAAAGCTGCATGGTATAATACATTTATCTTGCATATATCTGCCACCCATGCAATAAAGGTGCACATAATTGCATCATGATAAATACAACAATCACAGTATCACCTTTGCATCCTCTTCCCACATACACAAATGCTTTGGAGAATGTTAAATAAATTTTGTTTTGGAAAATGAAGCCTTGAAATAAGGTGTAAATAACCCCAGAAAATGTGCAGGTGTCATATTCATCTAGCTGGAACAAAGATTTTCCCAAATGAAACAGCAATATTTCTGTTTGGCAGTCCTAGAAAGTCCTAAGTATTCTTAAGAAAAGCCGAAATAGTGAACAGAAAATGGTAGTAATGTAAATAAAAGGCTTTTAACTCTATGACAAACAGCATGAAAATTATCATTAGTTTTAATATTTTATGTTGAATATCTTACATTGAATGTTTACTATTTTATGCTGTGTATCTTGACATTGAATATTTGGTAATATTTTTTCCAAAATTATATCCTTAACAGAAATATTTCTTGAGGAAAATATTTCGAACAAATAAAGTTTAAGTAATGAATGATAGATGCGACCCATTCTCTTTTGAATGTTATTATTTCTTTAAAAGCTTATGCAGTTAATAGTGTTTTAAAGCATGTATTTTGTGTGCTTTGTTTTGATTTTAGTTATAGCCAGTTTATTTTGAAGATTGACTTCGTGACTTGGTGCATTAAGCATGAATTACTCACGTTTCATTACTGCAGTAAGTGCAGCAAGACAAGCATCTCCAATAAGAGTTCTCAGTAAGTATATAGTTTGCAGTTCGTTCTTCAGACTTTCCTCAAGTTCTAGTTAGGGGTTATCATAGACACGGTTATTAAGAAGAAGTGATATATGGAGGTGGGCACTTCTGGCATTTGTAAACTGTTGGGATTTTTTTCCCACAAAATAGCTGATATAAGAGAATTGGTGGGGGAAAAGAAAAATAACAATGCTCAGAAATTACATAGCAAACAAGTCTTGGAGCTTTTGTTCCAAAATTTGTTTCATATTAAGTGCAGAAATTCATTATTTCTGAAAATGTGGCATGGAAGATGGTACTTTGCACAATATCAGCTTTCTAGTTAAATAAATAAATTAGAAAGTGCAGAAAACTAGGCAGCTATTTTTTTTTTAAAAAAATGTCCACATAGTAGGCATTGTACTAGCCTACCTTAAGCTGGGATTCCATGTTGTATGATACTGTTATTTCTCAAAATTTTTGGTGACTGGAGAATACGAGGTTTAAATATCAAAAAATGTTATGTATCAAGCTAAGGAAGGCCTAAAGTTTATGTCTTCAATATTGTATAAGGCTACCAGATTTGGCAAAAATTTAGATGACACCTAGAGGGCAGCAAAGGGTTGTTATTTTTTGTTGCTATCTCATAATAATACGGTAGTTGATTTCTGCAACTCAGACTCATAGCACTAATGTATCAGGTATGCTCTAAGTTTTGTTTTTATTATTCTTTTACTCTAGCTGAATTGATGCAGCAATCTCCCCCATCATTAATTTCTCTGGCTGGAGGAGCACCAAATTCCAACATGTTTCCTTTCAGAACTGCTACCATTATCATTAAAGATGAAACAAGAGTTGAAATCAAGGAAGAGCTGATGAAGAGAGCTCTCCAGTATTCTGCTTCAGCAGGGTATTTTAATGGCAGATAAAAGCTGTGATTTTGAAGCCACAAACTCCATAAAAAACCTTCCAAATGTGGGGGCAGGACAGATAGTCTCCTTTATCTACTTCAGAGCTGTCTTTCTGTTGTTGACCTCCTTGAAAATGTTTAATGTATGTAAGATAAGGAAATAGGGCAGGAATGGATACTTTGCTTGTCCAGAAAGCAGCAGATTGTCTTGACTTGACAAAACCTGTCCCTACTTGACAAAACTGCATTCTCCTTGGAGCAGCAGATCCACAACTTGGGGAATCCTTCTAAACCAAAATGGAAAATGTAGCTATGAGGGTCTTTGTCCACCTTTAGCTAGTACACCAGTTGCAGATGTATTTAGGGTGGGAGATTTTAATGACAAGAATTAGAATTAGAATTAGAATATTTTATTTGGCCAAGTGTGATTAGACACACAAGGAATTTGTCTCCAGTGCAGAAGCTCTGTGTACATGCAAAGCAACAGGGTAATAATAATCATAATAATACAAATAAGAAGGAATAGTTAAAAAGATAAGAAGATAATAATAATGCTATAGCCATACAACATGGATAAATGTATATAGACTACTGTGAGAATTAGGTGTTCAGCAGAGTGATGGCACAAAGGAAGAAACTGTCCCTGTGTCTAGTTGTTTTGGAATGCAGTGCCCTATAGCGGTGTCCTGACCTTGCAATATTCAGATGTTCTATGGAAGATAGGCTGGTTGCAGTTGTTCTTTCTGCAGTTCTAGCTATCTGTTTGAGTCTGTACCCATCCTGTTTGGTTGCTATACCAAACCAGACAGTTATAAAAGTACAAATGACGAACTCAATAATTCCTCTGTAAAACTGTATCAATAGCTTCTGCAACAGTCTGAACTTCCTAAGCTGATACAGAAAGAATATTCTTTGTTGTGCTTTTTTAATAATGGTTCTAATGTTGGGTGTCCATTTCAAATCCTGGGAGATTATAGAACCCCCAAACCTGAAGGATTGTACTGCTGATACTGTGCTCTCGAATATAGTAACAGATGGTAGAATAAGGGCTCCTCCTAAAATACACTCTCATTCATTCTCTTGTTAATTCAAACATGGACAGTTGCAACCTATTCTGATTGCATTTGCTCTTGAAGATTATTCAGATGATACAAACGCAATGGCCTATATCAGTGGCGGTGAACCTATGGCACGGGTGCCAGAGGCGGCACTCAGAGCCCTCTCTGTGGGCACGCAAGCCGTCGCCCCTGTCCTAGGCTTCAGCTGGGTTTTATAAAACTTTTTCGCTTTAGGCCTCCGCCGCCGTGTGCAAAAAAAAAAAAAGGTTCAATCAGGCAATTCGCGGGGAAAAAAAAGTCTTGCAAAGTTGGAATTGATTGATTGAACTTTTTAGTCCCACCCAGTCTGCCGTTACCACCGCAGCCACACCCACCCAATGGGCTATACCCACCCGGCACTCGACGATGCATAAGTGGGTTTTGGGTTGCAGTTTGGGCACTCAGTCTCTAAAAGGTTCGCCATCACTGGCCTATATGGTAGCAGGTGAAAATCACTGTGGCAGAGCTACATCAATATTACAGAAGTTGCATTAATTAGGATTACTTAGGTTCAGGATATATATAGGGCCATCTCCCCCAGACGCAATCTACCCATTCTATTTGATCAGTCCTGAAGGAGATGCTCTGGCTTCTTCCTAAACAAATCAGGGCAGGATGGCTGCAAAGGGCTTCAAGACTTTTTGAATCTGTCCCAATAGAACATTCTTCTGAAATCCACAATGCCCCTATAGACCTATTTTTTTCAAAGAGCAACTAAGACTTGACTCTTTCAAAGAACATTTGGAAATTAAGAGATGCAGCTTGGATTGTTTTTCACCTTCAGATTTCTTGTTTAACTACCACTGAAATAGCGGTAAAGAAGGTAATGTTAATGACAACTGCAAGAGTAAGTCTAAGCTAGGATGTATTTTACGTACAGCAGCTAATGCTGGTGGTAGATCAGAGTGGTTTAACCAAGATCTAAAGGAAGATGCTTGTTCATATTAGTGACTGCATAATAAAAGAATTAAAAGATAGATAAGATTTGTCTAAGAAATGCAAAAAGAATGAAAATCTTATGAAGAAGTGCACGATACACCTTACTAATGTAATCATATTTAGCATTCCAGAACTGTTGTCCTGGCTGAAGGATTTGCAGAAGACTGTCCATAACCCTCCAACAGTTGACTACAGTCCTCAGGAAGGACAAATGGAAATGTGTATCACTACTGGAAGCCAAGAAGGGCTATGTAAAGTAAGAAAAATGAACTATAATATACAGTGAGCATAATTATATAACTACTGTGAATCTTTAAAAATCTTTAAAAAGCTGCAGAGGCTTTTCTGATATGTAGGATTTGTAGGGATTATGTGAGTCTAATCCTGAACATTTGGGGGAGCATCAAATTGCTTATTTTTGCAGATAGCTTGTCCTTAGTTCCAGGTTGTTCTATTTTCTTCTCTCTATTAAAAGTATCACCAGTATTTGCTATAAACTTTGCAAACATATTTCTGTTTAATCTCTGCCTTCTCAGCTCACATATTAATGAAAGCAGTAGTAAGAAGCGACACTTTGGTAAAGCCATTGTAGATCCTACTTATTTGCAATAGTGGTGAATATCTGCAGCTTAGGTGGAGGATGAAGATGAAGGTTTGTGCTCCGAGCTTGTGGGTTGGTTTCCAAACATTTCGTTACCAGGCTAGGTAACATCTTCACTGGAGTTTAGGGGATGTCAGTGTTCTTTTTTTATATATATAATGTTTTATAGAGACTAAAATACAGAATAGTAAAACAAACAAAATTAAAACAAATACATTCAACCCTAACAACAACAACAAAAGAAAAAAGTGTACAAAAAAGGAGGAAAAAGTGGTCAGCTAAATTTAATATTTAACATGTTGGATCGACCCTGGCTGAGTGCTAAAAGAAAAGAAAAAGAATCAATTCTCCACCCCTTTTACATACATACATACATACATACATACATACATACATACATACATACATACATAAGAAAAAAGAAGAAAAAGCAGTCAACAGGTTGAGCTAAATATTACACTAATCTTCAAATCTCTCTGTTACCCATATGTTGTTATATTTAACACATAGAAAGTCCACAAACGGTTTCCAGTCTCTTATTTAGCTCTCTAGTCATTATCTCTAATCAAAGCAGTTTCCAAATCAGTTTATTACAGCCATATGGCCAGAAACAGTAAAATATCCAATTATAGGCTACTTACATACATACATATATAAAAATGCACTGAGCATGATCAAATGATGAATAAGAACACTTATAATAAAATTAATTTTTAAAAAATTATTAAAAAGATCTAAAAATAATATTTTCAAATGTATTTATCTTATTTAGTTTCTGATGAATCCCCAGTGGTACTGCGCAGAATCTAGCCACCTACACCATAATCACAGCCTGTTCGTCCTTAAGCAGGCACTGGAGATAAGTAGTATCAGAACTGCGAGGATACTTATCGATTATTGGGAGGATATGGTTTTTTTGAATATCTATATAGAAAGAACATCAAGGGAGTATGTGTCCAACGGTCTCCACCTCTCCTGAGCCACAGGAGCAGAGTCTTTCAGTGGTATCTTTTATACTTACTGTACAGGACGGCTGATGGAAGCGCATGGCACCTTGCACGTGAAAATGCTTTTTGGTGGTTTGCTGACTCCAACTGGCTAAGATAATTGGCGGGAATAACAACATATCTAATAGAGTCTGTAGCCAAAAACAATGGGGCTATCCCTAAGTCCACTTAATCAAAGCAGTTGATTTTGCAATCTCTGCTAATTCAGTCAATTTCAAAATCCATTCTTCAACAGTCGGCATCTCTTTTTCTTTTCAGTGGCAAGTACAATCCTCGCAGGTGTCACCATGTGAAAGAATAGCACCCCGAATAGTTTTTCAATTGTTTTGTCCATCTTACTAAAAGAAAAGCTTCAGGTTTCATTAATATTTGTATCATAAATATTTTTTGCATTGTCATTGTTATGTCTAGCCAGTATGTTTTCACATATTTGCAAGACCATGACATGATGAACCTGGATTTGGACTACATTTCCAATATTTATTAGAAATCCCTTTATACATTTCCGCTAGTCCAGGGCTTTTCAACCGGTGGTACGCGTACCACTTGTGGTACATTAATGAGTGGCAGGTGGTTCGCAGCCCTGCCTAGCTAAGTGTAGTGGGGGAGGGAAAGAGCCAGCACAGGCAAGGACTTACAGTGAGAGAGTCCTCTGGAGCTGCAAAGGCCCCAGGCTCACTTCTGGATCACCCTCCCCCATGAGAAAGGAGGAGGGGGGTGGAGACAGGAGAGGCTATAAAACAGCGGTTCTCAACCTTCCTAATGCCGCGACCCCATGCACCCACGTGACCACACGTGACCACACGCATGTACCCATGTGACCCACACGTGACCCACATGCACGCACCCATGTGACCACACGTGACCCACACGCATGCACCCACGTGACCACACGTGACCCACACGCATGCACCCACGTGACCCAGGAGCATAGAGATGGCTCTCCTGTTCGAGCTAGAGCGACCCCCTCAGCCGGGCGAATCTCGCTGCCGGGAAGGAGAGGAGAGAAAAGAATGGGAGAGGGGACAGGAGAGGGGGAGAAAGGGGGGTAGAATTTAGAAAAGGAAAGGAAAGAAAAAGAAACTTTTGTGCGGAGCCGGCAATCGCGGAACAAGACGCCTGTTCGGTGTGGCGGCAGGCCGGCAGGCCCAGGCGCTCCTGGGTGGCCATGGCAAGCGGCAGCGAGGACGCAGGCCGACCACCGGCTGGGCCACCAGCTGGCCCAGCCCAAGGGAGGTAAGCACCCGCCGGGCCCCACGCGTGCCAGCAACCCTCCCTGCGCCCGCCACTGCTCCACTAGCCTTACCTTGGCCACCGCATGTTCGGTGCGGTGGCAGGCCCAGGCGCTCCTGGGCGGCCATGGCAAGCAGCAGCGAGGACGCAGGCCGACCACCGGCTGGGCCACCAGCTGGCCCAGCCCAAGGGAGGTAAGCACCCACCGGGCCCCACGCACGCCAGCAACCCTCCCTGCGCCCGCCGCTGCTCCGCTAGCCTTACCTTGGCCACCGCACGTTCGATGTGGTGGCAGGCCCAGGCCCTCCTGGGCGGCCATGGCAAGCGGCAGCGAGGACGCAGGCCGACCACCGGCTGGGCCACCAGCTGGCCCAGCCCAAGGGAGGTAAGCACCCACCGGGCCCCACGCACGCCAGCAACCCTCCCTGCGCCCGCCGCTGCTCCGCTAGGCTTACCTTGGCCACCGCACGTTCGGTGCGGTAGCAGGCCCAGGCCCTCCTGGGCGGCCATAGCACGCGGCAGCGAGGGCACAGGGCGACCACCGGCTGGGCCACCAGCTGGCCCAGCCCAAGGGAGGTAAGGCACCCGCCGGGCCCCACGCGCGCCAGCAACACTCCCTGCGCCCGCCGCTGCTCCGCTAGCCTTACCTTGGCCACCGCACATTCGGTGCGGCGGCAGGCCCAGGCGCTCCTGGGCGGCCATAGCACGTGGCAGCGAGGGCGTGGGGCGACCACCGGCTGGGCCACCAGCTGGCCCAGCCCAAGGGAGGTAAGGCACCCGCTGGGCCCACGTGCGCCAGCAACCCTCCCTGCGCCCGTCGGCCTCCCACCTCCCACCCCTGGCCCTCTTTTACTTACTTTTGGGAGTTGCTCAAACTCCCAAAAGGGGTGGAAACGTCCAGAAAGCTCGCCTTAGCTGCAGACAACGTGCAGCACCATTTGCAGACTGGGACTTTTGGCGGGCTCAGCAGGGCAGAGACAGCCTGGACAATTCCTATTGGCTTTTGAAAGCCAATAGAATTAGACTCTTTTAAAGAGTGTCTATTCTATTGGCTTTCAAAAGCCAATAGATTCTATTGGCTTTCGAACGCCAATAGAATAGAGTCTCTTGAATAGAGTCTATTCTATTGGCTTTCAAAAGCCAATAGAATAAGAGGGAGTAGCACAGCTAAGGAAAAGGAGGGAAAAATGGCGGGGGGAAAATGGCGGACTGCGTTGTTTGGCGACCCCCGTGAAATGGTCGTTCGACCCCAAATGGGGTCACGACCCACAGGTTGAGAACCACTGCTATAAAAGGAGGCAGTTTGGGCAGGAGAGGGGGAGAGAGAAAAAGCAGCAGCCTTGGGAGGAGGTGGAGTCAGCTGCACCGAAGGGGAAGAAGAGGAGGAGGAGAGGGGGGATCAAGCAGGCTGGCCATGAGCCGATCTACAACTGCTGTGGCAGCCACCTATGCTGGCAGCAGCAAACAGGCAAGAAATGCAGTGGGGGAGGGGTCGCCCTCCAAGAGGAATGAAAAAAGGCAGCAATGGCTGGAGGTGAGGCATGAGGGAGGGAGATGGAGAGTGGAAGGATTCTTATGTGCTTTTGTGACTTTGAAGTTCTGGGATTTGTGCAATGTGGGCTTTGTGTTCTTAAGGAGTGTTTGGCAATTTCTATTTGGCTGATGTTTCATGTTAGCTTCTATTGCTCTGCTGTTGTTAGCTGTAAGTTTTGTTGCAAGGGATTTTGAAGTATTTTTCTCCTGAATGGATTTTGCCTGTAGCATTCCTTTACTTATGAATGGTGCCATTTGGGGAGGCTGCCTTAGCCTGCAGCCAGTACTTACATTTTTTTTTCTTCCTTAAGTGCCGGCTTCGCTCCTTACTTTCCTTTCTAGCCAGTAGCTAATTCTTAAAGGGGAATGTGCCTTTTTAAGCTAGTTCACTCAGCAGCTTGTCTTTTCTGTCTCTGGAGGCCTTTTCTTGTTTGATCAATATATGGAAGAGGGAAAATATGGGGGGGTTTCAAATTCTTCCTTCAGAAGGAGATGGAAATGAGAAAAAGGGAGGCAGGGAAGGGAGGGAGGAAAGGAAGTCCCCCCTTAGCACTTGGTCACCAGCAGCTCTGCCATTGACTTTGCTTGTCAAAAAGCTGCAGAAGGGGATCACATGACCCTGGAACACTGTGACCATTATAAATATGAATCAGTTGCCAAGCATCCAAATATAAATCACATGACCCTGGGCATGCTGCAATGGTCATAAGTGTGAAAAATGGTCATAAGTCATTTCAGTGCAATTGCAACTTTGAACAGTTGGTTTTTTTTTGGTCATCAAGTCTTTGACACCTTGCTAGCTGGTACTCGAATATTACCATATCTTAAAAGTGGTACAATTGGTAAAAAGGTTGAAAAGCCCTGCTCTACAGCATAAATTAA